AAAAAATAAGAACCAAGATGCATCGTGTAAAGATACAATTCCCAATGAGAAATGTAATTGTGTTGTATACCTACAATGTACCAATAAAAGAGTTCAATACAAAAAAAAAAGAAAACTAGAGTAATAGTGAGACTATGGATTGCAGATTGCTGTGCTCTACCATGATCCATGTACCCCATAAGGAGCTAGTTGAAAGGCAAAGCTTTGACACTATTTCTCACCAGGAATCCATCTAAACCTCTTTTTATTCATATTTCTTTATACATTGTAGAAGACACTTATTTTCTTTATGCTTTGGTAAGTAATGTACATGTCTTTAAGTTTTTTCTTTACTCTTCAAATTACATAGAGTTTCACCTCAGGTTCTCCCAAGATACTTAAGGCCTATCTTACAAAGGACAATACAAAATACTTTTGAAAAAAATGTATATTGAATGATTAAAGATAAGAATAGCATTTCACACCTGAAGTTTACTATAAGTTCTTATTCAGAAAGATCACAGTAAACTGAGAACTAATATTTGTTTATGACATGTTGCATTATACTCTAATAATTATTAAAAGGTTAAGAGCTATGCATGAATATTAAACTAGAAACAAAATAACAGATTCACTCCTTATGATGGATAGAATCTTAAAAGATTGCTTTTTGAGTGAACTGAACTGCTCCATATTCACTACAGAAAATAATGATTCTCTATAATGCTTTTGAATTCACATTTCAATCTGTAGTATCTTCAGAGATTCATCCCCCAAGGAGAATTTTAAAAGGGGTAGTTATATAACCACTAAGACTTGTTACAAAAAGATTAATGATTTATTTCAGGAGGTAAGACTTTGGCTTTTGTTAATGGATCTGACATATGGATTTTCATTTACCATTTGAGAAAACTTTAGTCTCTACTTTCTAATAGAAATAAAGCAGGTACAGTTAAGGAACTAGCCAGCAAGGAATTTTGGCTGAGTTGCTCTGTTTCCACCATCACTTTCAGTTGAATAAACAGTCACAGTCCAGGTTTCCAGGATTCCTCATTTATTCACCCATGAGAAAGAAACTCATATGGTCTTTTCACTATCTAAACTTGGCAGTCTGCCAAAATGCCAGCTTTGGAATGTTTTGGGTATTTATTAATATTTAAAGATTTAAATTAAAGACAAAACTGTAAAGATGAAAAATATTTGCAGGAGTTACTTGGTTCATACTTCTGGATGCTAAGATTCAAGGTGAGCTTTAGAAAATGCTTGGTTTATATCCTCAGAATTTTTGGAGATGAAGTTTACACTGGTCATTAGCTCACTGATCCTTCTTAGCCTTTAGCCTACACTTTGTTTAGCTACATATTTTGTTAATAGTACTTCATGTTTCAAGTCCCAATTAGAAATCGTTGTTGTAGTAGGAAGTGATTTGAATTATGCAGATTAATCTATTTTAATGATTTTATGGTGATTATTGATTTTTAAAACTTCTTAGATAATATTTTCACCTTCAAATATATAAAAATTCTATAAACGTAGGGTAGATTACTTAATTTGTAATTACCTTAATTAAAAATTTCTATCTGGTTATACTATCAAAATAATTTTACTTTTAAAAATAGACATATTAAACAGATAATTATTAAGTATATAAAAATGATACAACTCTTCTACACAAAGAATCTATAAGAAGGCTGATGTGAACCTGTAACTCATTCATTGCCAGGTGTATTAGACAGGATGTAACTATTATTTAACTTCATTTTACAGTTACTAAAGGAATGGATAGTCAAAATTCCTCAGATTTATATTCTGCATTTAACACTGGCTGAGTAACTTTATGTGTTGGTCACAGAGTGTCTTTTAGACTTCATTAATTCATCTATGCAATAATGATTGAAGTAACACTGTTTTATGAAAAATATAAAAAACTATATATGCACATATGTGAATATATCCTTCAGCTGTATGGTTATCATTTAGGAAGCATGTAATGAATGATAGCTATTATTGAAGTCTTTATTTCAAATATATATAATATATATGTTCTTTTTTCTGAAATATACTCAGTCATGTTTCTCAACAGTCAGTTTTGTTATTCTCATTTGTTTTGTATTTTAAAACTTTGGCTACAAAGCCACTTTAGATGAATTTATAGAAACAATATAATTGATAAAGAAAATAGACATTATGTGAAGGCATTTTTTGTTTTTCTGCAGAAATAAATTTTAATATTAATGATAGTCTCATATTTGCATATAAATAAGTACTGGTAATTGAATATCTTTACTTGTAATGACATTTCATATATATTAATGAAAATGTTACCATCATATTTACAGACTGCTGTAATGTTTGTACCACAGATTTGTTTTGGCAGCAGCTACCTGGTCTCATGAATTCAGAGGTAGATGGGAATAACACTGCAGTAACAGGGTTCATTTTATTGGGTTTAACAGATGATCCAATCCTGCGGGTCATCCTCTTCACCATCATCCTGTGCATCTACCTAGTGACCGTATCTGGTAATCTCAGCACAATTATTCTCATCAGACTCTCTTCTCAGCTTCACAATCCTATGTACTTTTTTCTGAGCAACCTGGCTTTTTCTGACATAGGCTTTTCATTTTGTGTCACACCCAATATGCTTATAAACTTCCTGGTGGAAAAAAATACCATCTCCTACCTTGGATGTGGCATCCAGCTTGGCTCAACTGTGTTCTTCGGGACAGCTGAGTGCTTCCTTCTGGCTGCCATGGCATATGATCGCTTTGTGGCAATCTGTGACCCACTGCTTTACTCAACCAAAATGTCCACACAAGTCTGTGTCCAGTTACTTGTGGTGACTTACATAGGTGGTTTTATTAATGCTTCCTCCTT